CTCTTGAAGTTGCCGGCGCCGAAACCGTCAAAGTTCCTCCTCTGGATGACCTCGATGAAGACGGTGGGTCTGTCCAAGAGGTTCTTGGAGAAGAGCTGAAGGAGGTAACCGCCGGCGTCAAAGTCGATGAGGATGTTAAGCTGCCTGATCTTTTCAAAGTCCTCACGGATCTTGAGACCGGTCGCCTCCAACCTCTTGCTGACGTCTCGGTAGTAGGTGTCAGGGACCTTGATGAACTCGATCCCTCTCGCCTGAAGAGCTCCTACGGCCTGGATGATGTTGTCGGTCCTGAGAGCGATGTGCTGAACCCCTGAACCGTTGTAGAACTGGACGAACTCCTCGATCTGAGACTTCTTCTTCCCCTCCGCAGGTTCGTTGATGGGCATCTTGACCTTCTCGTTGGGACTGGCCATGACGATGGAACGGAGGGCGGAGAACTCTGTCGAGATATCCTTGTCATCCACGGACCAGAAACGGTGGAAACCTAGAGCCTTCTGGTAGTAGTCGCAGGCCTCCTCCATCTCATCCCAGTCCTGGTTGCCTACGCAGTGGTCAAGCCATTGGAGGTTGACGCTAGGAAGAAGCTCGTTGATGGGATCCCTCTCGGTGATGACCTTATAACCTGGAAGGAAGGAACCCTTGTAACCGTCCTTTTGGATCAAGGTGTGGATCTGAGGTCGAGAATGTTTACAAAGATGAGAAACAGAAAGGTGGAAATCCAAAATGGTGAGCCAAGGGGAAGGAGAGGAGAGGAGGAAAAAGGACGAAGAAAGTGGGAAGGTAGGCCAAAAGGGAATGAAGGAAACTCACCGTGTCACCATACGTCTTGATGGCCGCGCAGATGACCGTTCCGTCCTCGTCCTGGATCGTGTAGGGCTCCCTCTCCACCCTGGCACCGTTCCTGACGGCGGCTTCGAAGACGCCGACTGCGTCGTCGACGATGAAAGCCACGTCCTTGACGGCGTCACCGTGAAGGGTGAGGTGTTCCTGAATCTCTCGGACTTTGTCCTTCCCGCTCGAAGTGGAGGAATCCTCTTGGTCCTCCGACTTGGCCTCTATCGGACTCGAGAGGATGAAGAAGATCTCCCCTTGACGGACCACGTGGGAGGCGACCTTCCTCTCTCCCGTCTCGAGACCCTTGTATGCCACCCTCTCGAAACCGAATCGCGTCACAAAGTAAGAGGCAGCCTGCTTGGCGTTTCCGACGTACCACTCGACGTGGTCTGAGAAGGTTGGGGTTGGGTTCAGGGATTCCGCCACATCAGCTTGCATGAACGAGCATGGGGAGAAAAAGGCCTGCATGGGTTTGATAGGGGTTGGGATCAACTCACGAAAGGCGGAAAGGCCGTCCCTAGCATCGCCGACGAGGTGGGAGGTGGAAGCTTGGGGTGGCGATAGGAGGGAACTTGTGGTGGTGGATGGAGTGATGATGGTTTGAGTGGCGATCGGTGCCATGGTCACGGTGCGGTGGAAAATGTGATGGTTGATGGGATACTAAGAGTGTTGGCAAAGCTCGAAGGATGGTTGAGAGAGGGGAAGACGGGAGGTAGAGATGGAGAGAAAGGAGAAGGGATGGCTGAGTTTTGGTGGAGATGAAAGACCTGACAAACGCTCTGTCTGATGGCTGGGATGGGGTGTGTTGTTATATAGTCAAGTAAGCTGAAGGGGTGTGGACGGCAGGGGGGCTCCGAGGACGATGACCGTTATCAATCGGCTGGTTCACCACCCTTGGCCTCTGCCATCCCTGTCTCACCTTTTCAGCATTGCAAAAGGATTTGCAAACGTCATGAATTGACCTCAGGGGGAGCCATTGGAGCCCTCACAACACGATGGATATCTCGGAAGAGGAGGAGAGCGATCCGAGTAGGGTGGACGACGGACGGTTGGAGGATTTCAAAGCCATGTGATACCACCAAGCGGGCGGTTGGTGTTGTGTGTGTGGGTGTGTGTTCGTCGGCGAAATCGACGACTGGTGAAATGGGGACGGACGCACACACACGGGGGTTTCAAGCTAAAAAAAGGGAAAAAAAGGACACTTGGCTATCACATAGCCATGCTTAGCCATCAAGGGAGACCCGCCAACGTGACTAAATTTCAGGGATCGGATCGTGGGTGATTTTTTATTTGTTTCCTCTTCCGCCCCCCGCCTTTTACCGGGAGGGGCAAGGATTGTAGCCGCGTTTTGGCGCTCATCTCCCTCCACTTTTCGGTTATTTTGCCTTTCCCACTTCTCCACTCTTTCCTCCATCTTTTTATTTATTTATTTTTCTTTTTGGCAACCCTCCTCCGATCCCCTTCGGCTTCTCGGAAGACCCTCCAACCCCACCACCACCACCATCATGAATCTACTCCATCCAGCTTGCTCGTATTCGTGCAGTACGCGCACTCTATGCAGTCTGGTGATACGTGATGATCCTTCTCAATCTCTGACGAATCCAACCCCGTCTTGAAGAAGGCGAGCCACGAGGTCTTGTCACGGTCCATATCAGTCAAGGGCATGCATTTCGTTCTTGAGGATCCCGAGTTGCCCTTTCCCCCAAAAGTCCCGGTATCCCTCCAACTCTTGCCGATATAGCACCACATTCTATCGTCTTCCAAAACCTTGTCTGCCTTTTCCCCCCTCTTCCTGTCATCCTTTCCTTTCCGAGTTTATGTTGATAAGAAGAGCTTATCATCATGAAACAGGCTGACACCGCTCTTGGGCCTTCAATCGAGTCATTCACCCTTCGCTTCTTCATGGCAGCGTTCTTTTTTTTTATTTTGGTTTTTTCTATTTCTTTTTTTTTTCCTCTCGATGTGTTTCCTTTTCTGGGAAGACAGGATGATCGGAAGAAGTTTTCGTTCCGGATGGTGTGGAAAGTTTTTTCTGCAAACCAAGGAAGGGGTTTGATGATGTCCATGGGTGCTCCAGTCATGACATCCGGACCCCTGATCGGAGGCTTGGCTTGTCCGGATCAGGGGGAAGCCCAGAAAAGGTGACGATTCGGATTTGCGAAGGTTGGGAGGGGGGAAAGAGTGGGAGAGGAGAGAGCGGAAGGAGTCAGAAATGATTCGATCAAAAACTCAGACCAACTCCCATCGGGACTGATCCGAATAGCGATCCGAAGGGGAGGGGTGTAAGGATCAGGGAAATGGATTGGAGGCGATCGGCTATTTCTGAGCTTAAGCTCACTTGGAGCCCGGTCGCGTAATTCCCTCCCTCTCCCCTGTTCATGAGCCAGTGCAGACACGTGACCTCCAGAGTGGGAAGGTGGTGGAAAGGAAGAGTGGGCCGGGTTTCAACTTTCGACCCGAGTTGCTGAAACAAGTCATGAGAATCATGCGGTTGACGGGCAGGAAGAGTTGCATGGAATCCAAGGCCGTCGCGAAAGGAGGATCGGAAACGAGAATGCATGAGAGAGTCGAATGGCGACAGAAGAAGGAAGAGGGAGGAATCGTGTGGGGAGGGCGAAGAAGGGAGGGCACCATCATTACTGGGACCAACAAACTCATTCACCCCTAAAGCTCATTCCCCGATCCACGTATCTTCCCCTCCCATCCCTCAGGTGAACCTCTCCACGAAGCGCATGGCGACAAGGAACCACTCGAACAAGCCTACGAAGAGGAGGGCGTTGGACGGAGTGGACCCTCCATCCTCCTCTTGCTCCTCTCCTGCTCGTCAACCTTTCATCTGGTGCAACCTACCTCCACACCCCAGCCCTCTCGCCTTCCACTCTCCATCCGAGTTCGAATCCCACTACCATGCTCAACACGCTCACACCTGCACCTTGTCAGCTTCCAACACCTTGAGAACTAGAACCGAGCCCACTCCTCCTCCTCCTCCTCCTCCCTACGACATTCGAGCACGATCGTCTCGAGTTCTGACAAAGTCATCGCCAGACCACCGAGGATCGGACTTGGAATCACCAACGGAATCCGATCCAGACGACGAGGAAAAGGAGGAGGAGCAGGTGACAGTGACCAGCCAGAGTGGTTGGACGGGCAAGGTAGGAAGTCAGCATGAGAGCTCGAATTGTGAGATGATAGAGGAGGGGGAAGGAAATCCTCCTCCTCGTCGCACCCATTCCCCCCTCATCTCGAGAAAGGTCCGGAGATCCCAACGATGTTCCAAGACGTTCCCCACCTCTCGCTTCCTCGATCTCCACATCGAAGAATGCCACTCTCCCCTTTCGATCCAGAGGATGGAAAGGGGGGAGAGCATCTTCTCCTGCTTCCTCGAACCTGACCAATGTGGAGAAAGCTTCCTCACCCCTAAAGAGAGGAGGAAGCACCTGATCGAATCTCACGGATACCCTCCCAACTACTTCTTCTCTCTCCCCTTCAAGGGGACAGGAGAGCTTTTCAAGAGGTACGGACCAACCGCTAGCCTCTTGAGGGGGGATTGGAAAAGGGTGGAAGGGAGAAGGAGGAGGAGGGGGGGGAGAGGGATCGACGACGACGAGACTGGTCAAGAGGATGGAAAGGATGAAGAGATGAGAATCGACCCACTTCGACCTGAAAAACGTTCCAGTGATCTCGATGATCGCCAAGAGAATCTCGGGAAAGGTAGGAAACGTAAGCTTCAAGAGCCAGAGCAAGACGAAGCAGAGTCGGGGATGGAGAACGCAACGTCTTCATCGGAAATCGAAAGAGATCCCCCACCAAACTCGCTCCCCTCCTCCTCAAACCACGAACCAAGTGACCGAAGAACATTAGACGAAAACGACGAAAAGTTCAAGGCAGGGACGGAAAACGATGGGTTGGCCTCCATCATGGATTCCATGAGCTCCCTCTCCCTCGTTCCTGACAAGATCCGAATCCATCGTCAGCGTCCGAAGGTCTGAAAAATGCATTAGAAATAGAGATTAAAACAAGGATCCGCAGATGAAGAGTACTTCTATGAACCCTAAAAATTTTCCCCGTTCGGGAAGGACCGAGCAAAAGGATGAGTTGGCATGAGGTTTGTTGGAACAAGAAGAAGAAAAAGGTAAAAAAAAAATAATAATAAAAAAAAAAAGATGTGCTCCCTACTAGGCTCGAACTAGTGACCTTCCGTTGAGTTGACCTGTCTTCTGATGATTTCATCAGGCATGTCTTATTAGACGGATGCGATAAACCAACTACGCTAAGGAAGCAATCACGTGAAAGAAAGTGGTAAGCTTGACATTATAATAGCATCAGAAGAACTCGTCACGAAAACCACCCTTGCTTTCCCTCCCAAGAACCAGAGAAAAAGGGCGTTGTCTCCGAGTTAAGAACGAAGTTATCATTCTCACCCCTCTGAGCCTTTCTCAGAGAAAGTACACAAGAGTGTATCTTTTCCTCTCCTTGAGGAGAGTTTTTTTTCTCTTCTTTCTGTTCTATCCTAAATCCAAATCGTTGCAGAATGGGAGGGGCAGAGGACGAGAGAGAAGGACGTAGTTGAGAGTCGCACCTCTTCGCACTGATGATCGAACCGAAACTCCACATTCTTAGGAACTTTTCGCGAGGGTGGGAACGGGGAGTCCCTCTGACGGGGAAAGATGAGAGCGAGAAGGGGAGAGGAAGAAGTCGACTCGAATCAGACTTTGTCTTGGTTTCGTCTCCGAGGAAAAAGTAACCACGCGTGAGTTACCTGGGTTTGGAAGGGGTGGGAGGGGGGCCATGGTTCTGAGGAACGTCGTGCACTTCAAAGCGTAGGGCCGATGAGGTTTTACAGGTGGAGAAGACAGATGCGCTTGGGGGAAAGAGAGACCCCCTGATGCAAACCTTGTCCTAACCATGTTCGAGGGATAAAAGAAAAAGAAGTTAGCCAAAGCCAACCGCATGCCCCTTTCGAGTCGCTCAGGTGAATCCATTCGAATTTGGACCATGGGGATGAACTGCAGCTTCGGTATAAGAGGTGAAGAATTTCAGCTCAAAAGTTCTGACCTTGCAAATCTTGGAGGACCCCCAACTTGCCCTGCCTCACCATGTCAGAATCCATGTCGCCTTCTCAGTACAAAAAAGGCGAACTTCAGATTACCACCTATCCAAGGAAAGGAGGACCACTCCATCACAAAGACAACGATCTGATGCTGAATTCAGCCGAGGAAATCTCATCAGCGGAGAGAATCGAGTCCGACACCGTCGATCAAGTGGACACGCTTGGTCCACAAGTCAGAGGGAGGCATCGCCGAATCTTTGCGTCGGAAGGCTCGAAGAAAAAGGAGAGGAAACGACCTTTCTTGGCAACGGTGAGAGACGGGATCATGGATACCGCCTGGAGGCAATGGATCTATTTCGCCAGCGTCTGGGTACTCGACGGACTCGAGATATGGGAGCAGATCTTTATCCGTGAGTCAAGGTCGAGGTATTGAAAAGTGGGAAGGGTGGGTAGGGGGAGGGTAGGGGAATTCAGCAAAGGTTTCCCCAGTCGACTTTCATCTTTCTCGTTTCCCCTCTTTTCTTTCCCTTTTTCTTCTTTTCTTTCTGTTCGTTCCTTTACTTTCTTTCCGTTCTCTCTCCCGATCATGAAAAGATAGGAACTAACTAATTCCTCACTCTCCAAAATCAAAACGAAAATGGAAAACCCTCCCTCTTCTCACGATCCACCAGTGACCGTCATGGGTTGCTTCTGTGCCTTGCTTACCCTCGTTTACCTCAAGTTGGCTTCCCTTTTCGACACGCTCCACTTTGGTCCTTTGAACCTTGATGTCCTTTCCTCCGAGCCGCCTTTTCCTCTGTGAGAAACCATGACTTGGAAAACCAGCTGTAGAGGATAGGGGCAGAGCAATATTTTCATGCTGAGGAAAGCGATGGGTTGGTGGGGAGGGAGGGGGGGGAAGATTGGATAAGAATAAGATTGACCCAAGCGCCTCCAAGCGACTCATCAAACCAAAAAAAAAAAAAAAAAAAAAAAACCCGTCCGCTGATTCTCTTGCGACAGGGAGCGGTTAAGACTTGCTTCACGCTCTTCTCTCTCTCTCTCTTCCCACTTCTTTCCGCTTGCTCCCATGACCAAATTCTTGTCGACACAGAGTGACGTAACTCGTTCGGAAGCTTTCTCCCACTCGAGAACCCTACCTCGATTTGTATATTTTCTTCCCAACGCTTGGCTTGAAGTTGTCCTTTTTGGTTCAATTTCCCACCTTTTTCTTTTTTTCAGGCGTTCGAAAGGAGGGGGTGGGGGGGGGGGGGGGTTGAACGTAGGGTGCTCAAGGATGAAAAGCATAAATGGGAATGTATGTGAGGAAGAGTCACCTCTCTGCCTTTGGCCCTCAGCATTCTTTCCAGACGCTCAAGAACCAGGACGCATCCCCATCAGAAAATTTAGAACGAGGATTTCTTGGATATTCAGAGAAAGTGAGGTTCTCCTCATCTTGACTTCTCCCTCCGAGAACACAGAAACAGACCTCTGACCAATCACCTCCCTTATCTTTTCCCTTCCTCTTCTTTAAGGAGAAGGAAGGTCAGCAACGATGACCGTCTCACCCAGGAACAACCTCTTGATGATCCGAAAATTCCACATAGCGTACGACATGAGGATGTACGAATTCGACGACGTCTTTGTCCATCTCAGTTCGAGGAGCGATGGATCGACGGACCAGCCTAGCATCAGCTTGATCTACGCTTACGGTTACCTCACCTACCGTGACGGTGCAGACACGGTCTTCGAGTGCTGCGACGAGAACGAGCTCGTCCACGATGTCATAGAACGAATGCTCCGGGTGTGAGTGGACAGGTAGGGGCGGCGACTCGAAGGGTTGGAAATTTTTTGAGGGAATGGCGGGGGAATTGGCTCGGATCGATGCTGAGATGAAGCTTCTCCTTTTTCTTTTCTTTTCTTCCGTTTTTTTCCTCGCTCGGTACGAAACTCTTTCAGGCTGTGAAGCATCAACTAGCTCTGCTTGCTGAGATGGTCTTCTTGCCACCGATACTTGGCTCGGACCTGCACTTTCGAAGTGGGAGAGAGAGGAAAAGAATCTGGGTCGCGGGCGGTAGGATATTTCCCATCCGACTTGCATCCACCAGAGATTGTTTATATCATGCTCCGCCAAGTTCCGCGAGTCGAGAGCCTTGGCCTCCCCCCCCCCCCCCCCCCCTGTTTCTTTTACATCTTCTTCTCTGACGATTGTTTCTAGCCAATCCGATGATGTCTCCCCGTGGGCTGGACCCAAGGCCTCCTGCTTCACGGACGCCTTCTCTTCAAGGTTTCTCCCCTTCCCTTATAATGTCTCTCTTGCCTTCCTGGAACAAGAGATGGTCGATCAAACAGAATTGCATGCTGATTCTCCTTTCTGGATGGAAAGCATTGTGGAGAGCCATAAGGGTTCGAAGTCCATTCCTCTTCATGGCTCGATTTCGCCTCATGCCATTTTCGTAACCATTGATCTCTGCTTCCTTCCTTCCTCTTCCTCCGCCATTGTTGATTCTGTTATTCACTCATTCCCCCTTCCATCTTTCTCCATTTCCGGTTCTTTTTTTAGTACATTGTATGCGCTTTTTTGCCCCTAGCTTTCCCTCCTACGAGGGACGGCAGCTGAAACACGAGAGCTTTGGCGATGATGGAAGGTTCATCTTGGCAGGTAAATCTAAGTGAAGGTCATGGTCGGCCATCATTCTCATTGTAGCTTTCCTTGAGCTTGTGGACGGCGAGGGAGAGGAGGTCATGGAGGTGGTGGAAGGAGGTGAGGATGTCGGAACACGTGACCAGGTCATGGTGAAAGAAGGGCAGAGGTCACATGACTCGACGCTCTTTTTTTAACGTTTCCTTCGCCTTCTTCGCTTCTCTCCCTTCTTGTCGTCTCCGGTCCTCTCCTCTCTTGTATAAAGTAAGGCCAAGCCGCCTTCACACTCTTCTTCTCCCAACCACCATTACCTCGCCCCAACGACGTGTACACCATCGTTATCGAACTTCCCCTCCGAACCCGTTCCCTCCTCCCTTATTCTTCACTTTCCTTCCCTCCTTTTCAACATTCCACCTTACTTTCCCGACCATCCGTCTCGCCGTATCGATTTAGGAGACCAGTATACGACTCTGCCGAGAAAAAGATCGGCACGGGTCATCTGGGAGGGACTGTGACACCTTCGTGGTTACAGTCCCTTCCAGAATCATTGCTTGTGGTGAGTCTACACAGGATGGCGATGTCCCATCCCCTCCCTCTACAGGGCAACACCTCCCTTACCTAAAGTGATGATTAAACAAAACCAAGGAATCTCGTTAGTCTTAAAACATTATGTGGATAACGTTTTTCATTCAAGTTTCAGCCTTGTCTGATTTTCTACGAGTCGAGGGGATGTTTCTAGAGAGATCTTTCACGCCCATGACGAACACACTTGCGATCGCTCGTTGCGGGGAGCCATGAGAATCGAGAACTGACTTTCAATCCGTCTTCCTCTCACTTTCTCTCTCACGCAAAACCAGAACCGTCACTCTCACCGCAGGTCGCCTGTTGTGTATCCATATTTGCACATCCTCACCCTCAATGTCGTTTCCCACTTTTTCTCCTTATCTCATTCTTATGTATACATACACTCTCTTCAGAAATGTTAAAAAAGAAAAAAATATCCTCTTTCGATGTAACTGAACGGTGACGAATCATTTTTTGGGGTGTGAAGATTTTGGCATGGTCGAAAAAAAAGTGTGCTACAAGTGGGAAGAATGAGTTAGACGAAGGTTGCTCAAGGTGATCAGTGCACGTGATGCCTTTTTCCATTTTCCCTCCATTTCGTTCTCCGATTCCCGAATCTCCACCTGTTTTTTTCGATTCTTCTTTTCGTTTTCATTTTCTCTCTTCTTCTCCTTCTCTTCAACCTTTTTATTCTTACTTCCTTCTTCCTTCGAACAACTCCATACCCGCCAATATCCACAGAACCATCGTGGCGCAACAGTTTCCAACCACCTCTCATCCCAATCCCACCAACCACGATGTCAACGCCCGAACACAAGGGGAAGAAACCCTTGAGGGGGGAGGGAGAAATTAACAGCAATCGCAACCAGGGAAGAGGTGGTCCGAGAGGAAGGGGTAGGGGGGGCAAAGCTCGAGGTGGCAGAGGAGGAGGAACAGGAACGGCAAGGCCAAAGTTCCAAAAACCACAGAGCGCGGAGAACGGTCTACCTGGAGCTTCGAAACTCAAAGCTTCCATAAGACAGACCAAGCGTCTGCTCGCAAAG